AACCCTCCCCTTGCATCCCACAGCAGCGGCTTCCAGCAGGCCCTCCCTCCTCTGCCTGTCTCTGCATCAGGCCTCCAAAGGGCTCAGCACCTGAAGACAGACCCTGTCAGCCCAGGAATGCTCTGAGCCTGGCACTCCCTCTGCCCAGGAACTGCCAGATATTTTGGACAGCTGCAAGGTGGAATTAAATCACGTGGGTGAAGAGTGGCCTAATCTCTACATAGGCAATATGTAAGTGTTATTTGAGGCTGAGCTGTTCTGAAGGGCTGGGGAATACAGTACTCATTAACATATGCTATCCAACTTTATATAGTTAGCATTGGTAAACTTCATTGCCTTAAAATAGACAAGATTAGCACAGAAGAAAACACAAGGACTATCCATTAAAGAAATAACCTACTGCACAGAAAAACAATTTTAAAAAGAATTAGACTCTCTTTATTGCTTTATATTAGTTTGTAATTGTGCAGCATACAGATTTTATAAATGCTACAGCATTTACCATACAAAGGACAAGACAGGCTCATGATCCTGAGCAGCCTTAAAATTGAACAATAATTGGTTTTTACCTTTTTTTTGGTGTAATTTTAACTAGAATGGAAATTTTCACATTAAAAAGTATTCTGATTTTGGCTGTTTATATGACAACTTGATTTGCAGTTGAAATTTTGACAAATCTATGGATATTCTGAATGACAGCAGACTTCACTATTTCTGAAAACTGTGCAGATGGGTATTTCACTCTGAAGCATAGAGAAAGCATGCAATCATCTTCACTCAACATGCCTAGTGCCCAGTGTTATGCCAAAACAAGGGTATTTTCACCATCATCAGGTTGCAAACTTGTTGAAATATCTAGAAATTACAATAATTCCTACAGTATAGAAAGAGGGGATACTGAAAACCCCGCTGATTGCCCACTGATCCAGATGAAGTGGCCATTCTTTTAGCTATGAAACAGCAACGCCCAAAATGAGCTAGGTGACGTTGGGAAAATAATCTGCATTTACAAAACTTGATTTTACAGATTGCCGCCTGCTTCCTGATGTCCCTGCACTTGCAGGCAGGAGCGTGGCAGCCGGCAGGTGGCCCTGTGCCCTGCGGGTGGGGACAGCCAGCAGCACGGGGCCCTGGTCGGAGCCTGGCTGTGCTAAGGCAGAAGCCACAACGATGTGCAGCGCTTCGCTGAACTCCTGCCTTGGCCAGGAGAGTGCGAAACCGACCCTTGCCTTTCCGCTTAAACATTGTAACTACACTTGGAAATTAACTCTTTTATGTATTAGAACCAGGTGCAGAAATCAGGTTTTGTAGAATTGAGCCTGACAGGTAGTACAGGCAAAGATTTAAGACAAACATCGCTGAAATTGTGTTCTCTTAACAGCAACATTTGATTTTAGACAGCCTTTTACGTGCAGTTTCAAGACCTCCTTTTAATGCCTGTGAATATACATGTTCCAAACTACTCTTGAATGTTTCTTTCAATCACATTCTGTCTTGTAGGGAGAAAGAAATGGGTAGAGAATAAAATGAAAAAATATATAGATAACAACAGTGTGTATGTGTAGTAAGGAAAACATGAAGGTTAAGAACATTCAGCTTACAAATAAAAATGTAAACAGGTTTCTTTGTTCATGGAACAGCTGATCACTAATATCAGCTTAAATACGAGTTACAGACTGCAAAGACTGAAACTGGAAGTTGATCAAGTACTACAGATGGAATTTTCTTTATTGTGCCAACATCAATAAGACAAATAGGAACAACACCTGAGAATAAGGGCTCATGGGCTCTTAATAAGATAGAAATGGGCAATGGAGAGAGTATGTGCATTTGGGGCCCAACCCAGTACTCAGTGAAGTTAATAAACAATGGATGTTTCTGTTACTGAGCAAACGCATGCCAGCCTCAGGACTTGTGCCAGAGCTAAAATAACCCAGAACAGTACCATATATTGTCACTTCTTGTTTCTGTGGAACCATTTATGTGCAGTTTCTGAGCAGCTACTTGGAAATCAAAGATCAATCTAGAATTAATGCTGTATTTTATAAGAAATATTTTTCTGTATGCCTTTATCAGAAATCTGATGTTCAACATCTTTAAACAAGTTAAATATATCACAAAATAAAGTAGGGATGGCTGACTTAACATGATGGCTTTCATCCTGGAGGACTTTGAAGTTGTCAACAAACTGATTATTAAATGTTTGTCTGGCTATCAGCCATTGCTGATACACGAGGCCAAGGCCAAGACCCTTTGGGTTTAAAGGTACAATGTTTTCCGAAGTGCTATATAATAAGCAGCTGAGGGCACATATCCTGCAGAAGTCAAACTTCATGCTGACCTTAAGCAGGCAGGTTTATTAACTGGAGTTTAACTGGATCAGCAAGGCTAATATCACTTCAGCAAAGAAACATTGTACAAGCTGTGCTAAAACCTCAGTGAGTTCAATGTACATATTTCAAATCCAGTTATAGAAGGACCTGAGCTACCTCCTGAGGTGAATTTTTGTAGGGTGTTTGGGCCAGAAGTCCCAAGTGATTGTAGCCAACTGAAGTCAGTAAAACTTGTTAAACTTATTTCTTTTCAGAAGTGAAATAACTTGGAATTCTGCATTTCCAGATGTGAGTATATTCAGAAATCGCAACCTTTTACCATTCTTCTACTACCTTACTTTTTCTTACACCTCTCAAAGGGGAAAAAATGTCTCAGAGTGTGGTGGGCACTGACAGGTGGGCACTACAGACAGGATTACATTACAAGACAACAAGATAACTTGAACTACTTGTAATCATGAGCTTTCATAGTGGACAGAATCGACTTTGACCATGTTGCACATTTCTGTACATTCTGTGTGCATTAACAAGGTCAAATGGTGAATCCCTGTCCCAATAGTAAACTGCTGCTCTTACACAGCACTCGCATTAAGCAATCACAAATTACTTTAGCAGCATTAACTAAATGTCACTCAATCACTCAGGTAAGCCTAATTATCCACTTACAGACATGGTCTTCATTGGCACGTGGGAAAACAGTAGGATCCTGAGAGATTAGGGGTGAGCGACAAAACCATATCCACGTCAGTGGCAAGGATCACACGTGGTGTACTAGTAATCATCAGAATGTATCTTCTGTCACAGGAGAGAAAAAAGAAAAGCAATTGTAAAAGAGAAGACAGTTTTGAGCTCTCAGTCAGAGAGCTCCAATTTTTTTTTTATTTTTCTGTATTGATTTGTCAGAATACACAACAAAAATAACTAAAAATAGTTACTTTCTCATTTGAGAAACAGCCAAAAGCTGCAAAGAGCTATTGCAGAGATATGCCAGTTGGCCATTTACAAAGCCTCATGCCATGTGTTTTCCTCTGTTTCGGGACTCAGATCTCTAGTAACAAAAAGCAGTTCTTGATTTATGAAAGGGCTGTGTGTAATACCCTGGAGGCTACTTTATCTCAGCTGCTGTAAATTGGATCTCTCAGAGATGAGATGAGATGCGATGCGAGTGAGGCAGAAGTACAAACTTATGCAATCTGTGACCATAGCACTGTTCCATGCAGCCTGGAACAGCACTATGTGTATTCCTGTCTGTTTTGAAAGGAAAAATCTTTATTTGCTGTATTCTTAGAAAAAGCAGATCTGCTTCCTTTATGCTGGCTTTCCTTACAATATTCTGCCACTTTCCTCTAGGCAATGCTATCCAAAAAGTTACCCAGTTATGATCAATTTCATCAAGGATTTACATACTGAACTAAGATACAGTATACACCTATGTAAACTCTAAACTCCTATGAAATTAAAAGAACACAAAGCGACAAAGAGAAATGTCAGACGAACAATCTGAATATGAGATAAAGATGAAAGGAACATGACCTAAAGCTTTGGCATCAAATCTATTTTTCTTCTCTGTTCAGGGTATAGAATGTTTCTGAATTTTGCATGCTCCTGTCATTCCTCAATCAGTTGGTTAAATGAAGGCAGTAAATATGCTAGGTACTCCTCTGGGATACATTCCTAATTTGCTGTCCATTCTGCTCATTAAAACTTTTAAAACTCAACTCCAAGAGAAAGTAGGCCCCTGTTTAAAATTAAAGCTTTTAAGTTTATCCCTGAACACAAAAAGATGCTAACCTGTTTTGCTGATTGGGATCAGCAAATGAAAAGGGGAAAATATTGCCCAACCCATACAAGTCATCCAGATGGGAGACAGTTTTCTCACCCTGGTGACAATAGATGCTCAATGGCTGAGGACTTTCCAGAGATAACTTTTTCTTGCCATGCCCTCTGCCCAGGTCTGTCTCAGCTTTATGGACCTGAGAATTACTTCAAATGCAATAAATTTTCAGCCATAAATTAGACATTTCTCTTGTGCTCAAAATTTCGTGTTCCCACCAAAATTCTTATTACTTGAACATTGCTGTGCCTCTAGCACTAGTGAACATGGAAAGGGATAGGTTATTTAATTTTAATGGAATATTTCATAAAGGAACTGCTCTTTAAAGCCTAATCAGCTGGCTCAGAAGGCAGGTTTCTCCCAGTACCCTGTCTTATGTCAATGTCTCGCCAGGGAGAGGGGACAGTAATGAAAAAAAATTGAAACTTTTTTTTGAACTGTTGAAATGACTACCCAAATTGGCCAGCTAAGCTAGACCACCCCAGGATAGTTCTCATCTTGGAGCATTTGTTTGGAAAATAAATTGCAGTTTTAGACTGAAGTCCTAAACATGCAGAGGTAAAATATCTGGGAAAAGTTGCTGGTGGCAATTCAGCATCTCAGCAGAATTCCATAGCATTTGCCCAGAGTTCACTTGCCACATGCATGCATTTCTGGAGAAGGTAATGCAGTGCTGCATCAGACCACCAAAGCTGGGGCCACACTATTCCTCGTGGAAACTCCCACCCCAAACCAGCAGTGTAACCCAGGGGTGAGTTTGCCCTCTTATTTCCAAAAAGAGACATCAGCCAAGGACGGTGTGGCCTAAGAGGCTGCTGCTGGCAGGCTCTCAAGTGTCAAAATAGAACCAGCGCTGCCAGCCACACAGATCCTGTGCTTCACAGGAACACACAGACAAGGAAAACAGTCAAGTTGTTGGGTGGAAAAAGTGGCTTCCCAGGATTGCTCTGACCATGGCGTGATTGTGATCAATCCACATTGGCAAGTATCATCTTTCCACGTGTGTTTCGTCTCCCGCAGGCTGCCTGCGGAGAGCAGCCTGGGCAGGCTGATGCATGCTTGTTATTGCCGGCGTAAATATCTCTGCCTTGTGCTATTGTGGCACAAAGCAGCTGGACCATTTGAAAATCATTTAAAAAGCACTATAAAATTAGGGCTCCAGTGCTCTTATTTTATGGCTTTCACGAGCAGCCATTGCCTAGAGAGAAATTATCCTCTTTATTTTCAAGGCTAAAGGTTCTTTTAACATTCATCAAAATCAAAGTGCACCCTTGGTAACACGTTGAGCTGTTACTTATTTAGTACAGACTCTTTACTTTCTGCATAATATCACATTTGAGATCTCGGTTCTTCATGTACAACTAATTTCATTGTGTCTGCTGTTGTTTTCACCAAGTGAATTTGCACAGTTTCAAGAGAGGCTGGATGATGCCCTGAAACATATTCTTTCCATAATTCCTTTTTTTTTTTTTTTTTTTTTAATGCTTAGAACAACAGCCTGGAGTGTTTTTGTTTCTGATCCTTCTATTAAAATGGCCAATTACCTCTTAAGCAATGGATTTGCACAGACCAACTGAGCACTGTAAGTGAAAGATTTTCAAGGGCAGAAATAATACTTAGGTGCATAACCTGATAGACTCACTTTGAAACATCTCTTCCCTGTGTATATTAAAAAGCTGTCTTTGATAATTTTCTTTTTTTCCATTCTTGTTTTCACAGACAGTTTCTTGACCAAACTGAGGAAAACGGTGAGTGAACCAAAGCAGCATGAAAAAATGCAAACAGTACAAAGGGAAAGCCATTCTTTTTAGAAAAAAAAAAAAAAAAGAAAAAGAAGCACAGCTGTATCAACCATACTTACAGCTCAGATCTGAAAGGCTTAGGAAGAGACACTGCATGAAAGGATCCATCAGCCACAAAGGTGGCAAGTGGGGAATGGTAAGGCCTTGCACATGCTCTGTGCTGCAGCTCAAGAAAACCACTGTGTGCCCCTCTGTTGTTTAACCTGCCTTACGTTTCTGTAAGAGGCTGGTCACCTTATTACCCAGACATCAAATACAGACTGAAGATAAACATTTACAAAGTCAAAACCTTAGCTCTGTTCTCATGATTCCCTCTTTGGCCAGGATTTTGTCTTTATGTTCTCTGGGGACAGCAGGCTCATTCCCGTGCCAAAAGGCAGCATTCTCAGATCCCTGCAAGGGGGGTGGTTGGTGCTGATAGATCCCACTGTGAAAGCATGTGTAGCCACACACAGCAGCTGTAAAGTCAGGATGCACCATCCTGCCTGGAGGAGATGTAACCCGGCAGAAGGCAAGGCTGCCTGTGTGCAAGGGAGCTCTGTCACCATACCAGCAGCTCTGAGAGCAGAGGGAGTTTGAGTTTTTAATGACAGAGATTTTGCCTGTTGTCACCCAGTCTGTGATCCATCAAGGGAATGGTTAAGCTAATAGAGGGATGAGATGAAGTTACTTGGTAATCACTATTATTTATGACCCTAGAAAGGCAGAAAATGGGACAGTCATGACAGACATCTTTATGGAAGAAGGAGGTGGGACAGAAATTAAGTAAGTCAGGGTAAGAAAAGCACTTCAGCTCTGTGACACATTTTTCTGTTCCAACAGTCAGTAGCCACGTTCCTGTGCTCAGGATGTCTCAGAAACAGAGAGAAGGGCCCAATTAAGCTCACATAGCTGTGGGCCCTTCCATTTTGAATCAGATTAGATCTTTTGGGTTAAGACTGACCCATCCAATCTCAGCCCTTGCTTGTGGCAATTGTGAAAAGTTGCAGGAGAAAAGCAGAGGTCAGTGTAGCCTTCTCAAGACCTGATCCAGCACCATGAGTGAGATTAGATTATGTCACCTGTGCTTGGGGTTCCTCCCTTTGGAGCTGACATGCACATGTGTTTGTTCCCTCTCAAGCATATACACCCTGATCAACAGAACAAAAATTAAAAACTCAGACAGAGTTTTTACCTGGTACAATAGAATAGAAAGTCCCTTAACCCAGCAGAATAGAAATAGAAAATCCCTTCTACCCAGTGGTTTCAAATTCCTGGACAGCCCCTGCTTTGTGGATAAACTACCTGTGGTGAATTGTTTCTCAATATTGTTTTCTCTATAAAAGATAGCAAACTGACACTTGCAGTCAATGCTTTAGTGCTGAAAGGGGAGAATTTTCCTTTCAAGCACCGAAGGGGAGCAGGTGTCTAGAGAGTGGTTTTTTCCCCCTACACACATATCTACTAACGCCTCATTCTGTAAAGTCTTGCTCACCTCACATCCAGAGCAGGATTAAGCATATCCTGGAGCTGTTCTGACCTAGATGATCAGTTGATGAAAGCCTGGCAAAAGGACCCTGGTTGTAGGATGTCCTGCATGTGCTAAAATTCAAAGTAATTTTGTGCCCAGTTTATTTATTTCAAGGAAGGCTTAATCTACCTTTAAATAGCAGGTGGGACCCCATAACTCAGAGGTGGGCAGCCAAAGGGCGAAAGAAGGCTCCTAGATGCTGGCAGTGTTCTTGTGGTGCTGTCAGCAGCTGCAGACCTTCCATCTCCCCAGAAAAATTGGGAAATTTAGTGACTACAAGAAAATGGAGCAGGATTACGTGAGGTGACCTTCCATCCCTTGTTTTCCTCACAAAATGAAGCTGCTAACTGCAGAACCAAGCTGGGACCAATGTAATTTTACAAAAAGAAGCATTACAAGAAAGAATATCTTTAAAGTCCAAGTAGGATCAGAATCTGGAAAGGTGTGAAGGCATTAGGATCTGTTTTAGCATCATGTCTTGGGACAAGGGTGTTCCTGCCCAGGTGATGGGCACCCGTATTACCAGTTCTTTTTCCCTCATCATCTCAACAGTTGAAAGCTGCTTTAAGCATTTTGCTTTTGCTTCTTCACTCTTGATGCCTTGTCATTCTCATTCTCCTCCATGTTGTCACTGTGAAATGAATCTTGGTTCATAGTGACAAATGTATTGCCAGCCTGGGAGGCAGATGTTTGGTGCCCATGTTATAGAATTCAGTATTTAGTAATGAGTAGTGTGGACACAGCATTCATAAGACAGGTGGAAAAAGAGCCAATGCAGGTTGGACCTGAAGGGCTGGCTAGTTATTCATTCTCCATCAGGCCAGAGCAGAGTCTAGAGAAAGCCAGCATAAGAAACAGGACAGCTGTGTATCCTCCAGCTTTTGGCTTTCAACAGATTGGCTACTTCTTAAGCCTCTTGATACTTTTAATTACTATAGACTGAAAAGAAGAGCTGGTCCTAGCACAAAAGTCCTTAATTGCCCTCACGAACCCAACAAGCACCTTGCCTCCATCAGATCCAAGGAGGGGTGAAGGCTGTGGGGGAAAAAAAGAAAAGGAGCAGTGAAGGCTGGGTGAGAAAGGAAGGTGAATGGATAGCTGAGGAGCAAGCTGGATGGCTGAGGAGGAAGGCTGGATGGGTGAGGAACATGTTGGGTGAGTGAGGAGGAAGGCTGGGTGGTGAGGAGGAAGGCTGGCTGGGTGAGGAGCAGGCTGGTGCTGGAGGAGGCTCTGGGGAGGCCACTGCCACAGGGCAGCACAGCTGCCATGACCATGAGCTTTGTCCCTCACCAGACAAACTGCAAAGGCACTGATGAACGTCCTCCATGCCTCAGTGAGGGAAGGCCAGGCCAGGTCAGGCCAGGCCAGGCCAGGCCAGGCAGGCCAAGCCAGGCCAGGCCAGGCCATGCTGCAAGCAGTGGTGTGGCAGGGCCAGGGCCAGGGCCGGGACCCTCCGGGTCTTCACAGTGCTACCATTCACAATTAACTTCTTCCAGTTAACGAGCTCCTGGTGCACAATAATCTTTGTGAGTTTTCCGCAGCTTTCTTTTATCTGTTAGAAGAATGGAGGGGAGCCACCACACTGGCTGCTGAGGAGGAGTGCCTCTTTATAACTCAAAACCCCCAGCCAGTCTGGTTGTACTTTCCAAACCAATTTCTGTTCTTGTAGAGGGTTTATTTCCGTTAAGAAAAGTATTTGAAGTTAAAACAGCTGGGGAGAGAGCATGAACAGCACAGACTCCTCCCTTCCAGCCCTCTTCCAAAGCCCCAGCAGCTCCTGTGACACCCCTTGCATTGAGGGGCCAGTTTTCCCAGGAGAACAGGCAGGGGGTTTGACCCCACCGGTTTGACCCACTCCCCAGCCCAGCAACCCAGGGCCACATCCTGTTAGCACCCAGGAGTGCCCTCCTGCCCAGCTGCTGTCCCTCGTGTCTCCACTGTTCCCAAAAGCCAGAGCAGTGTCCTCTAGCTGGGCTCTTTTTCTAGTATGGCTGGAGGAACAGGAAATGGGAAGATAACCGTATTTAGAAGAAGACAGTATAAAAGACTGAAATAGTCATCATGCTTTTTACTTTAGGTGAGTGCATTATGTCTTGGACTGGTTTGTATGACAGATTTTGCAAGCAGAACAAAACCCGGCCAAACTGCACAATGTACAGGGAAAAATGAGCACTGTCACAGGCTTTTCTTATACACAAAACCTGCATAGGAAAGGATACAGTGTAGATCTTTTGAGGTATACACCCAGGTCAATACCAATCTAATTAATTAAGTACACTTCACATTTTTCTTTCATCCAGTGCACAGTTTCTTGTAGGTTCTCCCTTTAAATGCCGGTCAGGAGTGTATTCCGTTCTGCGATGCTCATCGCTGTGTATTTTTAAATCCTCCAACATTGTTTTTTCCTGCCATCTTGTGGCAGCAGGAAAAATCACAGCGTTTCACTAGCCGCAGCGCTGCCCGCTGGCCTGAGACAAGGGTTGTCAGTAAAAGAGTCTAATCTAGAATTAGATTAATTGGCATCACTGCAAAAAAATACAGCCCCTCTTGCATATTTAAAAGCTTGAGTAATTTTTCCAGCTCCACCAGTTAATCTTGTAGCAGGGGTTCTTTGGTTATCCCAGAGCAAATTGTCTGTTTTGTAGACCTTTGTGTTTTCTGCTGTCTATAAAGAGCAAAGGAGAGTTGCATAACAGGTGAGACTTAATCATGTTATGACAAGACTTCATCAAGTGAACCCTAAATATTTTGAAAAGGCTCCTTTATGCCAGTGTTGCTCTCAGGTCTTCATAGCTCCTTAACAAAGCCATCTTTGTTTCCTATCAAACTGTAGGAAGATCTTGTCTGATAGGCATGTAAAGCTTTTCCTTTTACTGCAACCACTGTTGCTGTCTGGTCTCTCAATGTAAACGCCACAAAACCTGCCCAGACATCCTGCATTATTTGCCTAATTCTGAACCAAACATTTTCATTATTTTGTTAAAAATTCATGTAAGATTTATATAAGACAGAATCTAGGTTCCTAGGTGTTTCCCCCTTTTCCTGCTATTGCACAGAGCATTTTTGAAAATGAATACTTGTGATCCCAACTGTCCTGCCACAATAGCTCTTCCCAGATGAGGTAAAGATATGAAAATTATCTATGATAATTTTTAAAAATTCAAAAAGAAAAAAATGCCAGTATTTTCCCTTAAAATAAATGCAAAATTCAGAGTCAGTAAGAAAAACTAGTCACTACTTACTAAGAAAATTTCCAGCCTGCAAAGAGAGTGTAAATAAAAGCTCTTCAAAGCTTTGTTCATTTTCACTAGCACCCGCAAAAATGACTGCTTGGATTCCAGGCACTGGAGAGAAAGGATGTTAGTGCTATTTATAGCTCACAGGTGACTCCCATTGCCATTGTACCTGAGAATGTCGCAGTCCTTAATGCATTCCT